ATAAATCACAATGAAACTATTAAATTCTATCCCATTTGCCTTCACTTTTATTCCAAAAAGGAAAAAAGTAAATAAATAAAAATGCTAGTCGATTATATTCCTGTGTGTTCCATCTACATTCAGTTCATTTCAAGAGTGATGTTTTGGCAATAACCATGCAAATTTGCAGATTGTGATCGATGGGTGGAAGGGGAGTTCTTGTTTGGGACTTTAAAACAAACAAACCAAGAAGAGCAATAATAACTGCTTTGCTGGATCAGACCAAGGTCCATCCAATGTCCAGCATCTGTTGTCCAGATGCTAGTGAGTGCTCAGAAGCAAGACAGGAAATGGAGATGGATGTGCAATCTCTTTAACATCCAAATGGACTAAAAACATAAAGCCAAATGGTGCAGAATGTGACTAGGAAGAAGATGAGCTGCATTGCTCATTCAAAATTGTACCAGATCACATACCCCCAACAGGTGAAAAGGGCACTCAAGTCTACAACTATATTCAATACGGTAAGTATAAGAGCAATGTTATAGAAGTGCTTTCAGGGGAGGGGCAATTACATTTTAAAAGATAAAATATATTGCACATCAAGTGCTTAAGAAGTGCAATAACCACAATGGAAACGCTATCTTTCGGAAAGATGAGTCCACTAGGCCCCTGGCAAAATGCACTTTCGAATACAAAATTCAGAAAATGTACTGGCACCATTTTGTGCACCGTGTGGCAAGAAAATGCCAAGAAATACGGGCTTTAAACTTTTATTAGAATAAACCCATGCTTTGAATACAGGAGATAACATTTCAGGTGATTGTGGGCCTTTTCTAAAAGGTGGAATTTATTGGGGCCAGGGGATGTTGAAGAATTATATCTGATCTGGCTATCCCATCTTTGCAGACTTTTTAAGTCCCAAAATGCATCACACATTACATTATATGCAGGGGAACAAGTCTGCATGGGGCCAGTACCCCACCATAAATATGGACTTTCTGGATTGGTATTGTGATTACCAGAGCTAACTTTGAAAGCAATCTGGGTTCCAACCACTATATGGTTGACATCCTTTCTCTATGATTAATCAGATCCACTTTCTTGGAAGTTAGTCCCATTGATCTCGGTGGGACTTACTTCTGAGCATACGATTGCTCTGCCAGACACACATGAGCAAGTCACACAAACACACACAGAGAGAGCACATCAGTGGACAAAACCTCAAACTTTATTGGGCTATGCCTGGGAGTCTTCAATCATAACACTGGCATTTTCTGGACCAACAGCCAAATGGCTTACTCAAGGGGTTACTTAAATTATTCTCAGATTTATAGGTTTTAATGGGCACTGACAGCAATAAACGATGCATTACAAATCATGGCTGCGCTGGCGTGCCAGGTGACAACAGAGTTTTCTCTAAATTTTATGTTGTGATGTAGTAGTTCTAAGCACAAAGGGAACAACAACAAAAGCTTCTAAAGCCTCTATCCCATCGAGAGCCTTCCATTTACACAACTTCAGCTCCAATAGTTTCAATGGGACTTAGGCATGACCAATTTACACAGGATTGCACCTGACCTCCTAAGCAACTGGAGACAAAAGCAATATTAAAAGTAAAGCTCAGAGTATTTAAAAACCGAATTCTCCACCCAAAATTATTCACATTGTCATTTTTCCCCCCATGACGACCTACATGAATACTCTTTAATGGCACCAACTCTTCTGAGAACATCATGGCAATATGTTGATAGTTCTGGAAGAAATTAGGGGTGCCTAAAAACCAAAGTCAACATTATAAGGTAAACACAGAGTTATCAACCCTGGATGGGGGATGTTCAACCCTTTCTCCAGCTACCAATTATCTCCTTCAAATACACCTCTGACCATTTTTTTACTTCACCGCCCCTTGAGGCTATGAGCCAAAACCTTAATTAGTCCAAAGATGGGGTCCTGCATTGAGCACCCAGCAGAAGATCAAATATGGGGTTCAGAACACCCATTTGCCAAGGCAGCATCTAAATGTCAGTGAAATCAATGGGATTTACAGCTCACCCTCTATAGCAACGTGAGGAGCTGAAGCCAGAGTGGAAGGAAGTGTGTTGAGAAATACAGACTTCCTCAAAGTTAGTTTAGTGAGGTTCCGTCACAGGGATTCGAACCGCCGACCTTCTGATCGGCAAGTCCTAGGCTCTGTGGTTTAACCCACAGCGCCACCCGCGTCCCAGGTCCAACCTGTACACCTGTCCAAATAGCGAGAAGGCAAATGGGTGCTGCTGCTCACTCTACTCCCCCTTGTTAAATCCACACCAAGCATTTAAAGCACTCTTATACCAAATTTAAGTTATGGAGAATCCTGGGAAGTGTAGTTTGTGAAAGGTGCTGGGAAGTGTAGGGGTGTGAGATCAGCAGCCATAACAAAGCACAATTTTTGGGATTATCTGTTAAAATTGCAGAATATAGCTTCGAATGCCTGGTGCAGGCGTGACTGCAGAGAGAAGCCACAGCAAGGAAGAGGAGGAGCAACAACAGTGAGGCAAAGAGGCTCTAGAGGAGAAGAAGAAAAATTTGGACTTGATATCCTGACTTTCACTTCCCTTAAGGAGTCTCAAAGCGGCTAACATTCTCCTTTCCCTTCCTCCCCCACAACAAACGCTCTGTGAGGTGAGTGGGGCTGAGAGACTTCAAAGAAGTGTGACTGGCCCAAGGTCACCCAGCAGCTGCACGTAGAGGAGCGGGGAATCGAACCCGGTTCCCCAGATTACGAGTCCACCACTCTTAACCACTACACCATGCTGGCTCCCTAAGGCTGATGGCAGGGCCCTCCCAGAGATGGAGAAGATACCCAGCAATTCTAACATGGGGAGCCAGTGTTGTACAGTGGGAACAGTGCTAGATTTGGACCAGGAAGACCCAGGTTCAAATATCTGCTCAGCCATGAAGCTCACTGGGTGACCTGGGTCAACCACACACACTCAGCCTAACCTACCTTACAGGGTTACTGTGAGGATAAAATATTAATGGTGAAGGGAACCAGTACGCTGCCTTGAGCTCCTTGCAAGGAGAAATGGTAAGAAATGCTAAGAAACCCAATAAAATAGCAAATATCCCTGATGCCAACTCTACTAATAATGAACCAATAGGTTCGATGAAGTGCTTATGAGCACCTAAGTAGCTAGCTGGAGCCCGGCCATGAAGTCTAAAGTATTGGGTGCATTTATTTGTAAGTGCCAGGGGTGATTAATAGCAGCAATAACAACAGGAGAGGCAAGGCTGCCGGAGTCCCACATGGAGAGCGCATGGGACAAAGGCAGTCGACGGCGGCACTGAAACCACGCTCCTTTTTAATCCTGTTGTTGCTATGAATTATAACGTGGGAGACGGACATAAAGCATGTTATTACAGCATCATCTGTAATGCAAAGATTAACATCTCTCCTGCAAACAGCACCCAGGGGCAAGCAAACAAAGTCGGAGCCACTGAAGAACCAGACCGTCCTCCAGGCTCTACAAGTGTGTATATATATGATGAATGCCGAAACGCTTTCTATCATTCAGCAGTAAGAAACAAATATATACCTATCTATTCACAATGAGCAGCAGTCGGGGTTTTATCGCTCAGTCTGTCAAGGCTGTCAGCCCCAGAGAGGCATTACAATAGTTAAATATCTAATGGTACCGAAGAGCCGGAATGTCACCAATAGAGAGAGAGAGAGACGAAACAGGTGCACGCTGTCAAATTACCGCCCGCTTGGAAAGTCACGATTATCGCTTTAACTATGGAATGCTACAATCCCCAGTGAAGCAAAGACAACCCCCCCAACCCGAACACAACAGCTGGTGCTCTCAGACCTGGAGGGGAGGGGGCGGGCAGGCGGGGAGATATCGAGATCGGTGCAAGTAATGAAGGAATGAGGTTAAAGTGGGGGGAATGTCAAAGGAGAAAGAGAAAAAAAGCTGGCTGTAGGGTTTTTGTTTTGTTTGTTTTTTGAGATCACACCCACACGTCGGTGGAACGCAGGATAACAAAGAGTGAAAAATAAAAAATGGAAGGCGCAAGAGAAACGAGGACCTCTGATTGAGGAGAACCTCTGGAGATGAGTTATGGGAGTTGAGGTAGGGGCTTGGGGAGAGAGCCGGCACTTCAGATTTGCAGGGTGGTAGCCACGGGGGGGGGGGGGACGCGGGTGGTGCTGTGGGTTAAACCACAGAGCCTAGGACTTGCCGATCAGAAGGTCGGCAGTTCAAATCCCTGCGACGGGGTGAGCTCCCATTGCTCGGTCCCTGCTCCTGCCAACCTAGCAGTTCGAAAGCACATCAAAAGTGCAAGGAGATAAATAGGTACCACTCTGGCAGGAAAGTAAACGGCGTTTCCGTGCACTTCTCTGGTTCGCCAGAAGCGGCTTAGTCATGCTGGCCACATGACTCGGAAGCTGTACGCTGGCTCCCTCGGCCAATAAAGCAAGATGAGCGCCGCAACCCCAGAGTCAGCCATGACTGGACCTAATGGTCAGGGGTCCCTTTACTAGCCACGGGGGCGGGGGGGGCGCAAGTCTGGCTTCATCACTCAATTTTCAGTTTTCTTGAATCTTGTCTCTCATTCAGGTGTGTCCACTCTCCCACAGCAGGAAAGGAGGAATTGTGAGGCAAGAAATTGTACAGCACACCTGGAATGGGACTGACTAAACCAGGAGAGCATTTCTCATGCCTGTTTTATCATCTGGCAAAGGCATGAGATTTATAGTTTGATGAATGTGATGTTGATTGGTTTTTAACGTCTACCAATATTTTCCTAACGAATATTCTATATCGTTTTACATAAACCGCTTACAAGTTTGTTTGTCTATTAAGTGGCACATAACTCCTATAATTGGGACCTGCTTGAGGCCATCTGGGTGAGAACAGGACTCTGGACTAGTTGGGCCACTGGCAAGATCCAGAAGGCTCTTAGAATCATAGAACTGTAGAGCTGGAAGGATTCCCGAGGGTCATCTAGTCCAACCCCTTGCAATGCAAGAATCCTGCCCACGGCCATCCCTGGTTGGGCTTGAACCACCAACCTTCTGGTTAACAGTCAGATGCACTAGCCCACGGTGCCACTGGTGGCTTCTAACATTCTTAATAAATGAATAAATAAAAATGTGTACAAGCAAATCTCTAGCCCAAGAAGCACAATAATTTGAATTAAGTAGTAAATAATTTTTGAGCAAAAGAGGGGGGGAAATGGGAGGGGGAGCGCTACCTAAAGGGGACCACCCAAACAGGCCAGTGAGGACAGATTATGCCAAGGTGCCACAGAATGTTAACTATTGGGAGGAGAAAACAGAAAACCAGGGCACAGGGGGCTGGAGTGACAGGAATCTGAGCAGAAGCAGTCAGCACTGCAACATTTTGTTGTCTGCTGCCTACTATCCTTGGCAGATGCTGATCAAAGACTCTTTCCAAACAGTGATTTTACCAAAGCCATTTCCCTTCCCCGGGGAAATGGAGCTGCGGGCTGAACACGATCCCGCCCCTTGCGCGGTGGTGTGGCTAGCCCCCGCGTCACAGGGAGTCCCCTCCGCGCCGCGCCCAAGGCCAACCAATCTGGTCAGCAAGGGGGCATGGCGCGCAGCATTTAAGCAGCCAGTGGGCAGGAATTCACCGCTTTTTTCTGGTTCCCACTCACGCAGTTCTCCCACCCTCCCTCCCTCCCTAAGATTAGGCTCTTAATCCTTTGACCTTGCTGTGGACCTCAGTTGGTCGCCTGTTGAAGGCGCCTGGTAGGAATTTTTTCAACTTTGCGAATTGGCACCAGCCATTTGGTTTTTCTCCTACCGTAGCAAATCATCACAACTTTGTAAGTTGGCAGTAAGGCATTGGAGTATTCGGCTGGAGGTGAGGGGAGGTAGTGGCCATCACCTACCCCTCCTATTTCAAGGGTATTCTGTTAAAGGAATCCGGGGAAAATTGGTCTCAAATATCTTTATTCCAACACAGGGGGCGGGTTCAGGGCCTTGCCATTCAGTTTCACATTAGGCAAGTGGGGTAAAACTACTCCTACGTCTGAGTGCAAGTAGGGGGACATTATTATTTTTAAAAAATAATAATAAAAGAACACTGCACAAAGAAAAGCAACACATGAAGCAACAAGAACGCTTCTCTCTAGTTGGACTAGCTTTCCGCAGGCAGGGAGTTACCGAGAAAGGGGAACATTTTCCCTTATGTGATCTAAAGTGGAAAAGCCCCTAGAGGGTTGTATCACTTCATTCTCCTGAATGTGCAGATCCTGCCCCTGAAGAGATTTCAGTTTCCATCCTGTTCCCTTTGGTTTCTATCCTGCCAGTGTTTAATAAAAACTAAGTATTACTTCACTTGCCTTAAGGACCTGTACAAATTAGGACTGCCACCTTTTGTTTTTAAGAAAACACAACAGCCCTGCCCTTGATGGATGATTGACACAGTGGCAGTCTCAGCAGAGCACCTGGGCTGTAGCGCTGGGTTCGCGTTGCACTGCAAAGGGTGCCTATACGTGTGTGTGCCTTTGGCTTAGTCTAGGATTACCTTTTCGCTGAGATAGGCAAGCGCTCACAGCGCAGCTAATAGAACAGGCTTCCAATAGCATTACTGCGGATTCACAGAAAGAAAAGGAGAAATACTTGTGCAACTGAGCCTGTTGCGCAGAATGGAGAGGGAAGCATAATAACAATTATTGGCAACGATGGTCTGGGCATTGGAGAAAAGAAAAAAGGCAGACTCTTGCATGCCCAGAAGGCCTGTCAAAGGTATTATGTCTCTGAACACCAGATGCAGGGAATCGCTCAAGTCCTGTTGATGGCTTCCCACAGGAACCTGGCTGGGCACTGTGACAAACAGGATTCTGGGCTATATGGACCACTGGCTTGACTCAGCAGCATTCTTCTTATGCCATTATTGAAGAGGAATGGCTGGAAGTGGTGGTAGTGGTGTTTTACTCCCTTGTGAAGCAGACTTCAAATCTTTCCATTTTACAGGCGGAGAGGGTGATAGTGGCACCACTCACTCATTTACAACTCTGGTTGGCTGCTGAAACTCAGCCTCCCAGTTCCAACGCACATTCATTTCTTGCATTTTCCTTCCTTGTCCAAACCTTCCTTCCTTTCTTTTCTCCTGTTGCCACATGCGCACATACCCCTCCCACCAATCCTTTTGCTCTCTTTCCCAGTCTCCTAACTGCAGCCACCAGCCGCCCATTTGCACACCTTCCTGCATCCAGATTGATCTCATTCTCTTACGCCGATAGCCCCTCTGATCCCATTGGCTCCACATGCCCCCTTGTTAACCCCCATCTCCAGTTTTGGATTGACTCTCCCATTCATTGCTGCAAGCCCCCCTCCTGGCTGTTCTTTTCTGCTCCAATGCCATTTGCTCTGGTCTGAAATTGCCTGCTTCTCCCGTCCCTCCCTCCTGCCTGATCCCTCAGTCCCCCTCCTGATATTCAGTCTATTAACCTCCCTGACTTCTCCGTGGCTGTCAGCCTTCGCAATCCCTCCCTTTCCCCAACTGCCATCTGCAAACATGTTCAACTCCAGCCCTCCCACTCCTGAACGCCTCCTGCAGGTTCTCTCCCCACCTAATCTCCCTTTTCTCCTCCACTACCACTGTGCCTTTGACCGGTTATTATTCTACATATCCTCTTTTATTTGATTCGCCTACCCTCAGAATATAAACTCTTCCTAGCAGGGAGTTCGTCTCCTCTACATTCATAAAGGACTGTGGAAAATGTGCAAAGATGCATTAGAGAGGTTAAATCGCTTTTCCGAGACTCATTGCTGACTTCCAAGTTAGGCTCAAAAAGCTTATTCAGATTAAGCACAGTTCTCCTCTCCCCGACAAGTGCTAACATAAAACAGAATACAAGCCAGGCAAACATCGTTCTGTTTGCTGTTCATTAGAGAGAGACGCCACTTGAGTGCCACAGCAACGAAGAAAACAAGGGCCAGGCACAATGAAAGGCAATTTCCAAACAATCATGCTGCCTTGGCTAGCTGCTCTCCGTCATTCCAAGGTGCCAATGAACCAGACTGCGCATGCAACCCAAGAGTGACCACACTCTTAAAGGCCTCAATGCATCAATGTGCAGTCCAAGAAGAACTGCCTAAGATCTTATACATACTAGGGAGTGACCCTCTGAACCCCCCAAGGGATTTAATGCGACAGTGCAAGAGGTCTTGGGCAGCATGTCTCAGATCATACGCTACAACTGCTTAACGAAGGGCTCCAACACAGGAGGAGGAAGTGACAGAGGAGGGGAACGAATGGCAGGAACCTGGGATGGAGGAGAGGAGGTCTCCCCACCCCCCATCAGTCGCTTTGGGAGGGGGAACAGGGATGTCAGTTCTTAACACACACACCCTCCATAAACCTTCCTGTACAGTGGAGAGTCTTGGTGAAGACGTGGGAGAGCCTGAAGCAGCCAGAAGAGAAGACAGAACAGGAAGTGGCAACAATTGAATAGGAGCCCAAACAGGAGGGCGCAGTCTGGTCACCTAGAACCAGGTGCTGCCTTCACAGATGGGAGCAGACCCACTCACCCCGACAGAGCACATGTTTGGAATCCCCACATTCCTGCAATGTTGAGTGAGTCTCATGAGTGAGCGCGCCAAGCCTAGCCTTTAATAGCTTGACAGGCACGGCAACTTGTTGGGACATATTCCTTGCTTCTATCCAGTTCTGAACTACTTGCCTTGCTCCTGAACTGTGACTCCTTAGCCCAATGTCTGCTGCTGAGTCTGTACCATTACATGCCTGAATAAGGTATCTTTTTTTAAAAAAAAACCTCACAATTAAGAGCCTCTTCTTGCTTGTTCAGGGAGGGAGCCAGGCCAGAATTCCTCAAGTCCCCTTGCAAACACAATTAGCACAAATACGAGTCTGTAAAGGCCTCTGAAGGTCCATGCATCCACTGTGGGTATGCTTGGCCACTGCAGAATATGGGATGTTGGGCTAAATAGGGTTTATTTTTGATCCAGCAGGGCTGTAATACCAAGTATTTTATCTGTCACCTTCAAATCTTGCCCTATGTGCAAAGGAATCAGAAGGCTGTTTTAGCCACACAACAACGCTTCAAGGTAAGGTGAATTGCCCAAGGACACACCAGGAGCTTCACACCTGAAGGGGGAGAACACAGGCTTTGTACGAAAAAGGTCCCTGGGATCCCCAGCATCCTTCAGGTATGGCTGGAAAGAATTTCTGCCTGAAACTCTGAGCACTGCTTCCAGCCAAGTGTTGACAATGCTGAGCTAGATGGACCAATGGTTTGACTTGATGATGTTCCCAATCCAGCACAATAGTGAATGCTGCACCTTAGGTCAAAACAGTGTATATCTAAGTGTGGCGTTTCCTATGTCTTGAGATTTGATTAACCCAGTACTACAGACATAACAGACAGGTGGTGAGGTCCATTGCAGAATTTTAAACATGTGCTCATTGAAGACCTTGCTATTGGCTAGACTAAGAAAGCACACAAGTATAGAAAAGAGTTTTGATCTCATCCCCTTCTATTCCCAGGGTTGGTCCCATACATTTTGAAATCTGAGGCGAACCGCAAAATGCCCCTCCCCACTAAGGAAGAAGAAATGAGTGAAGATCTACAAGTGGGGAATAAAGATCTACTACAACGCAGGTAGCGCTGTGGTCTAAACCACTGAGCATCCTGGGCTTGCCAATCAGAAGGTCGGTGGTTCGAATCTCCGCGATGGAGTGAGCTCCCGTTGCTCGGTCTCTGCTCTTGCCAACCTAGCAGTTTGAAAGCACGTCAAAGTGCAAGTAGATAAATAGGTACCACTCTGGCGGGAAGGTAAACGGCATTTCCGTGCGCTGCTCTGGTTCGCCAGAAGCGGCTTAGTCATGTTGGCCACATGACCTGGAAGTTGTACGCCGGCTCCCTCGGCCAATAAAGTGAGATGAGCACCGGCAACCTCGTCCGTGACTGGACTTAATGGGCAGGGTTCCTTTTACCTTTACAAGCTTGTAGACGCAGCATTGATAGGGGGACTGCCAATGAGACGTCAGATCCGGCCTCCAAGGAGGGTGCCACAGCTATCACTGCCACTATAGCAGTGGCCGCAGTGGCAAGCAAACTTGGGA